GAGCCGGTTCCCAACCTTCTTAATGCCACGACCCTTTAATACAGTGGGCTGAGAATCGCTGTCCTTCCCCATCTTGGGTGGGCTTTAGGGTCAAATAGGAAATCCAAACAAATATTCTCAGAGCAAAAGTGGGTTCTAGCTTGATGGATCCTTAATGTATAACACTGGCGATTTGATTCTTTTAGGATTTTTTGTTTTAGTTGTTTTCAGCAGGGAGGTCAAAGTAATCTAACCCACTTTCCAAGGAAACTGAAATCCCACAAAACCAAGCCAAGATTCAAACCCAGGTCTTTTTGGTCATAAAATCTAAGCACTGAATAACTACTAAAATATATCCTAGGCTCGGTGCCGATAGCTCAGTGGTTAGGGTGCTGACCAATACATGGAGGTAGGTGGGTTTGAACCTGGCCCCGGCCTGCTAAACAACAACTGCAACAAAAAAATAGCTGGGCATTGTGCCAAGCACCTGTAGTCCCAGCTACTAGAGAGGCTCAGGCAAGAGAATTGCTTAAGCCCAAGAGTTTGATGCTGTTATAAGCTGTGACGACACGGCACTCTACTGAAGGCAACACAGTGAAACTGTCTCAAAAAAATAAATAAATAGGGCAGCGCCTATGGCTCAGTGGGTAGGGCGCCAACCCCATATACCAAGGGTGGCAGATTTGAATGCAGCCTCGGTCAAACTGAAACAAACAAAAATAGCCAGGCGTTGTGGTAGGCGCCTATAGTCCCAGCTACTAGGGAGGCTGAGGCAAGAGAATCACCTAAGCCCAAGAGCTGGAGGTTGCTGTGAGCTGTGATGCCACAGGACTCTACTGAAGATGACAAAGTGAGACTCTGTCACTAAAAAAAATAAATAAAAGAATATCAAAGGCTGTCAGCTGCCTCTTTTCTCTTTTTTTTTTTTTTAAAGAGATGGGGGTCTCACTATCTTGCCAGGCTGGAGTACGGCGGCTATTCTCAGGTGTGATCCCACTACTCATCAGCACAGGAGTTTTGACCTGTTCTATTTCCAATCTGGGCCGGCTCATCCCTCCTTAGGCAACCTGATGGCCCCCCCATTCCCAGGAGGTCACCATATTGATGCCAAACTTAGTATGGACACCAGATTGGCACAGCACACTACAGCCCAGAACTCCTGGACTCAAGAGATCCTCCTGTGTCAGCCTCCCAAGTAGCTGGGACTAGAGGTGTGTGCCACAGCTACCTCTTAATATCCATTTCTCTTTTTTATATTTATATTTAAATGATAATTTTTCCCCATAACTATTCATTTGGAATAAATGACTTTTTAGGAGTTTTTTTTTTTTTTTTTGAGACAAAGTCTCACTCTGTTGCCCTCAGTAGAGTGCTGTGACCTTATAGCTCACAGCAACCTCAAATTCTTGGGCTCAAGCAATTCTCGTCTTGCCTCAGGTAGGTGGGACTACGGGTGTCCCCACCACTACACCTGGCTATTTTTAGAGACAGTGTTTTGCTCTGGCTCAGGCTGTTCTCAAACCTGTGAGCTCAGGCAATCCACCCACCTTGGCCTCCCAGAGTGCTAGGATCACAGGCGTGAGCCATCTTGTCCAGCCAGTAAGAGCTTTTTGTTAGGCCTACTGCACCAGCTAAAAGACTGCATCTCCTAGACTCCCTTGCAGCCGTTCTGTGTGGCTGAGTTCTGCCCAGCAAGATGTATACAGAAGCAGACAGAGGGCAGTAATTTTGGGAGAAAGGAGTTTTCCCTTCCAGCAAAATGGTGATCTCAGGAGATCTAGCCGTCACCTTGGATCTTAAGGATAAAGGCCATAGCCAATGAATGACAGAAAAGTCAGGGAACCTGGGCACCTGATGACTTGAGGGCCATCATACTTGCCCAATACTGGATCTTTAAAGAAATAAAAATGATCTTGTTCAAACTACTACTATTTTGAGATTTTTCAAATCCAAACCGACACAGATGAGAAGAGTCAAAAATAATCTCTGGCTAAGGGACTTGGCTAAGCATCCTTTCTCTTTCCCTTTCTTCCATCCTACTATGTACTGGCCCACAACTCCCTTCTCTCCCCAACCCCCTTCCCTTAATACACAAACCAGTCTGGGCCCAGCCTTATAAATATTGATTTTATAGAAAGGACCAATTCAAAATTGGTCAGATGCCACACGCTAGAAGCTTCCAGATCCACAATGATGAAAAAACAAAAAGAATTCCAAAAAGAACAAACAAAAACACCCCAGACCAAACTGCCTGAAAATCAAGGTCCCAGTTGATCAAAATTTTAAAGAAACACATGTGGCCAGGGGTGAGGAGACCCCAATGCCTAAACAAGTACCCAGAGTGGAAAGAAAAATAATCCAGAAATTCAAACCCACAGTCCCTGCCCACTGGCCCTCCACGCTGTCAAGAGCGAGGCAAAGGGCTTCACAGCTTTACTGGGGAGGCGGGGAGGGGGTGTTGGGGGTTGGGAGGAAGTGATGACAATAGCTTAAATAATGGGAGAAGGGGGATTCCTCAACATTTTCTTATCTCTTCCTGTAGAGGAAGAGGATAGACTGGTAGCTTGAGGTTAATGATTTTTTACTTCTTTAATGGGGAAAACAGAAAATGGCAGGCCATCATGAAAAAGCGCATTTAGCCTGTGATTTATAGCTCCCAGTTCCTAAAAGAAGGTGAGCCTGGTGTGGTAGGTTAGGAGAGGTAACAACCTTGGGTGCTGCAGCTTCTTGGGAGAAAACAGCTCCAGAAACCAAGGACTGGAGGAAGAGTGGTAAAGAGGCCAGAATGGGGGAACCCTTAAGTGGTACCAAAATTAGCTGCCATCTGCTCCCTGCTGGTGGGTCCCTGGGGTGTAGAGACAGGCAGGGAAGGAGTTGGGGCTAAAGAAGAAAATGAGATGCTAATAAAAAATACCCTACTTGAGGGTCCACGGCCCTGGGTCTGAAGAGTAGGAAGCCAAAAGGGGTCACTCAGAGTGCTTTCTTAGGGCATCCCCCTGAACCCCGGCTCAGTTCTGACTGGGCATCAACGCTGCCTAGACTGGGGTATGGGCTGGTAGCTCAGTCCTGGCCCTTGGCTCCCAGGGGAGGGGGTAGGGACAGGCATAGCGGGCTTTCCACCCCCTCCCCTGGGTTCACCTCCCCTCCTCCCGGCCTGCCCGGCCTCCACCCGGCCCATTGCAGGGCAGCACCCAGTTGTTATCATGCAGGCCCAGGCGGCAGCCAGGTGTCTCGCGGTCTGCTCGACGGCAGCACATCCAGTAGGAACGTCCATAAGGCAGGTCATGGTGGTAGGGCTTGGGGTGCCAGCGGCAGAGCGACACGTCGCCCTTCTCGTATCTCTTGCGGCACTGCTTGCAAGGGTCATCACGGTAAAGTGGGTCTCGGCTCCAGCGTGAGTCTGTGGCCCGCACACCGAACGCCTCTATGATGCCCTTGAAGTGGTGGCAGGTGCACTTGAGGGCTGCCAGGGCCCGCGTGGGCAAGAAGCTGAAGATCTTCACCAGCACATGCTCGGGCAGCAGCAGCATGTACTGTCTCGGTTCCAGCAGCCGCTGGATCTTGAAGCGGATCTCCAGGAAATCATGTGACACATGCCGGTATAAGCGACACAGGGAGGTGTCGGCTGTCCCCTCAGCATCATCTGGACCTGGTGCAGTAGCTGGTGAGTCAGCTGGGGGTGGCTCAGGGGGCCCATCTGGCCCACGGGACTGGAGGAAGAAGAGCTGGCCAGGTGGGGGGGGCTCCTCTGGGCTGACCGTTAGACATACTGTCTCCTCCTTCACATTCTTGGTGCCATCTTTACCAAAGAAGATGCACTCGTCTACCACTCCTGTCACCACCACATCTACATGGAAGCCTGATGCACCACAGTCCCGGGCAGGGGGTGGAGGGGGTGCTGGGGGAGTGTCCTCAGGCCTGGCTGGGGCTGGGCTCTCACCCTCACTGGCTTCATCCGCCCTAGCCAGCAGGAACTCCACATTGCTGGGGAGGGCATCCCTAGAGGGGCTGATGAGCTGATACAAGTCACAGGTAATCTTGTCCTTAGCTCGGGCCCCAGGACCTGGGCTGCCAGGGTATGCACAACCAGGCCGGCCTCCGGCCCCATTGGGCAAGCTGCCCTCCGGTGCCCGGGACTCCCGGCCATTGGAGATGCGGAAGGCAATGCGTACCTCACCGGGGCCTGGCCCAGGCCGTTCCTCCTTGCGGAGGCCCTTGGTGGGGGTGTTGTCCCGCTGGGCCTCGAAGTGGGCCACTGCCTCAGCTACACGGCTGCAGTCCCCACCACCAGACCGCCTCTCAGACCCTAGCCCCTTGGCTGGTCCACCTTGCTCAGCAGACACAAAGACCACAGGTGCTGGGGTGGGGGGACGTGGATAGCTCTGCAGGGCCAGGGCAGCCCGCTGTTCTACCAGGGCCACCATCTCGGCCACAGAGAGCAGGTCTTCACCAACTGAGGCGGGGCCCTCCTCAGGAGCTAGAGGGCCCTCTCGGCCCCCTGGGTCTGGAGGGGCCTTGGTGGGCTCAAGACAGCGCCTCCTCCGCTTGGCCTTGGAGCTATCACTACCCCAGTGTCCCTTGACTTTCATGGAGCTGGCTCGGCTGCCCCCACCACACTGGTGAGCCACAAAGAAGGCCACTTTCTCCTTTGTATTCCCCGGCTTGATAACATACCATGTGTCCAGCAGGACTCGACCCTCATCACCAGCAGCTGCCGCTGAGAGGAGTGGAGCAGGCTGGGAGGTGGGGACCTCAGTGGCCAAGGCAGGTGGTGTGTTCTCTGAGTGCACAGGCCCATGGTCTGGCTCAGCCCCACTGCCAGGCTCAGGGCAGGCTGATGGCTTGAGGGTTGCAGAAGGTGCACGTGGCTGGTTCTGTGAGTAGGTGCCAAAGGGCCGGGGACACCATAACTGGAAGGGCAAGAGGCTGCTGCGGTCCATTATGGGGGATGATGGCAGGCCAGGCTTCACAGCATCTCAGGACTTAGATGGTGGGAGGCTCCACATGCCACCTGGAGACAGGGAAGAGGAGATTGGGAGCTAGGGGACCAACCTTTCTTCCCAGTACCATCCCAACCTCAATCTCTCATGGGGGCAAACCAAATTAGACCATCAAGAACTCAATCCCAGGGCAGTGCCTGTGGCTCCAAGGAGTAAGGGCACCAGCTCCATATACCAGAGGTGGTGGGTTCAAACCCGGCCCTGGCTAAAACTACAAAAAAAAAAAAAAACAAAAACAAAACTCAATCCCACTACACTGCTCAGGTAAGCAAATAACACTGCGGGGGGGGGGGGACAGAACCTCTTTTAACATACAGCGTGACCCTAGCTGGCAGCTTGCTCACACCTCCCTCCTATGCCACTGCCCAGCTGCAGTTGCCCACAATCCAGTAACCTCCTGTTGGCATAATCTCTAAACTTAAGTGAAAGTACCAGTTGGGAGACAGCCTTCTCCTTTTCTGTCTGCTCACCCTGCAGCTCCTTCCTAAAAAGACAGGAATTCCCACCCCCGCCCACAGCTATGGCTGCTTGAGCCCACAGCGGAAAGAACAGTATAGGTTGGGTGAGGGGAGAAAATCTGAGGTCAGAGCCAGATAGGCCCTTAAGAAATCAGTTCTTCACTTTTTTGGGGTTGTGAAGCTCCTTGAGAATCTTTTTTTTTTCTTTTGGAGATACAGTCTTCCTCTGTTGCCCTGGCTGGACTGCAATGGCATCATCAAAGCTCACTGCAACCTCAAACTCCTAGGATCAACAGATCCTCCTGTCTCAGTCTCCCAAGTAGCTAGGATTATAGACATGCACCAATCCCAGCTAATTTTTCTGTTGTTTTTTTTTTTTTTTTTTGTAGAGATTGGGTCTCATTCTTGCTCAGGCTGGTATTGAACTTGAGTTCAGGCTAATCTCCCACTTTGGCCTCCCAGGGTGCTAAGGTTACAGGTGTGAGTCACCACACCCAACTAAGAACCTCTTAAAGCTGTTTATCTTCACCCAGAAAAATGCACACAGCTTGGCGCCTGTGGCTCAAGTGGCTAAGGTGCCAGCCACATACACCTAAGGTGGCGGGTTCGAATCCAGCCCGGGCCCACCAAACAACAATGATGGCTGCAATCAAAAAAAATTGCCGGGCGTTATGGCAGGCACCTGTGGTCCCAGCTACTCGGGAGGCTGAGGCAGGAGACTCGCTTGAGCCCAGGAGTTAGAGGTTGCTGTGAGCTTTGATGCCATGGCACTCTACCCAGGGGGACAGCTTGAGGCTGTCTCAAAAAAACAAACAGAAAAATGCACACCTGTGCAAAGACTGTAGTCAATTCTCTAAAGAACCGCCACAGATCCCTGGGAAAAGAAAGCCTGTTCTAGTCTACCTCCGTCCTCAAGCTGCACACAGGTCAACTTAGGCTCAGAGTTGGGAAGGGTTACATAGCTAAGACACAATGGATCGAGAGCAAAAATAGGCTCTCACATTGGGTTTCTGAACTCTTTAATTCAGGTCTTTCTGTTTTTTTCTTGAGACAAGGTCTGTCTCCAAGACTAGAGTGCAGTGGAATCATTATAGCTCACTGCAACCTCAAACTTCTGGACTCAAGTGATCTTCCCACCCTAGCCTCCTTAGTAACTAAGTACAGGTGTGTGCCCCCACATCCCACTCATTTGCTTTTCTTTTTTTTTTTTTTTTTTTGGTACAGATGTCTCACTCAGGCTCAGACTGGTCTTGAATTCCTGTCCTCATGCAAAGGATTGCCTTGGCCTCTCAAAGGATTACAGGTATGAGCCACCACTTGTGACCCAGGATTCAATTAACAATGGCTATTTTATACTGCAGTGACTTTATGTGAATGACCTAATCTGGTGGCAATTTTGGTCATGAATGTCACTTCCCATTGCACTTTCTACCTACTAATCAGTAGCATATGTCTCAATGGTTTTTTGGCCCATTTTCCTCCAGACAGATTGAATCTTCTATGTGCCTGTAAACCAAATAAGTCAGAAAACTATGGCCTATAAACCAAATCCAGCTCACTGTCTTTGTATAAAGTTTTTTTTTTCTTTTTTCTTATGGTAGAAACAGAGTCTCACTTTATCACCCTTGGTAGCGTGCCGTGGCATCACATAGCTCACAGCAACCTCCAACTCCTGGGCTTATGTGATTCTCTTGCCTCAGCCTCCTGAGTAGCTGGGACTACAGGCGCCCGCCACAACACCCAGCTGTTTTTTTGTTGCAGTTTGGCCAGGGCCAGAACCCGCCACCCTTGTTATATGGGGCTGGCGCCGCCCTAAAGTTTTATTGATAAGAACTCATTTATAGCTGTTTTCATGCTGCAACAGCAGAGTCAAATAGCTGCACCAAAGGCCATATGGCCTGCAAAGCCTAAATATTCACTAACTAGCCCTGTATGGAAAAAGTTTGCTGATTCCTGCAGTAAAGACTGTCCCTCTAAATTCAAGCAATTCACAGGCACAATTCAAAATCCAGGCAGCCTTCAGGCACATATAGATACCAGTAACAAAAAGAATCCCAAAATTTAGGATCTTTATTCTCCTCATGATCCCTAATCTCCCTCACCTCTCAAGTATTTACAGTCCCTACTGAAATCCCAGTTCACTGTGAAAAATATCACCATACAGCTTCCAAAATCTATACATTGCTAAATTTATCAACCACCCATTCAGATACAAGTTGAGCACCCCAAATGTGAAAATCCAAATTCTAAAACTTTGAGTGCCAACATGATGCTCATAGGATGTGCTCATTGAAGCAGTTCAGATTTTTGGACTTGGGAGGCTCAACTGGTAAGTATAATGCAAATACTCAAAAACCCGAAATCCCAAACACTTTAGGTCCTAATCATTTTGGATAAGATATATTTAACCTGTATATGTAAATGCTCAGCGGTAGATGCTAACACAGAAAAGGCAATTCTGTACAGAGGCTATCCCTCTACTACTTGGCCACTTGCTAAAATCTCCTTATCAGTTTAAACCTTATCTCTAGAATCTCAATGCCTTCCCCCTCCAAAATCCAGACCTTTCAAATCCTATTTTATATCCCCAAACCTAAAAGTACCTTCTCCAGCACAAAGGGCCCAATCTCAACGAACTGCTCACAAATCCTAACACATGCAGCAGGGTGGCGCTTGTCGCTTAAAGGGGTAAGGCGTTGGCCCCATATGCCAGTAGGTGTTGGGTTCAAACCCAGCCCCAGCCAAAAACTACAAAAAAAAAAAAAGTACAAAAGCCAACACATGCAGCAATTCTCCAACTTCACGGATGGCACAAAAGACCAATCTCCAGGAATCCTAGACTCACCCAACCTTCCCCTCCCATTATCTCTTAATTCCATTTAAGCTCTCCAACTGTAAAGGAACTCAGTAAAACAAAAAAGGTCCCTAAACACATAAGACTAATCCCAAACCATACAAATTTATTATAAAGCCCAAAGAAGTCTCACAAATGCTACAACAGGAGACACGTGCTTACTTTACTGCACGCTCTCTGCCGGCGTACTAGGTACTGTTCTAACAAGTCCTGTGAATCCTCACCAGTCCCCAGGAAGCAGATGGTATTATTAGTTACTATTTCCAGATGAGGCACAGACAGGAAAGGGAAGAAGTCAACTGGTACCCCTGGACTCTACTTCTAAGTGTCCCCAGAGCTCCCCAAATCCTATACCCACCAAATACCCCAAGCCACAAAGGAGACCCCTAAAACACAACCCAACTTTGTACATTAAAAATGAACCCAAGCCCCAAGGCATCCCTTAAGATCAAGGGAACCCCAAAATTATCTTCTTCACATAAAAAGTTTCCCAAGCCTCAAGTTATTGCTTAAATGCAAAGGGAGCCCCCATATCTTGTAACCGCCTTCAAAGGAGTATTTCAAGCCCCTCAAACCTATACACGCCCCCCAAACGCCTTCACCCACAAGCCCCCACAACCTTAAGAGCGGGTGGCAACAATCACGCATGCGCAAGAAAAGGGCGCAGGCCCACCCCTCACTCCTTCCCTCCGGCCATCACCTCGCTCAAAAGCAACAAGCTTCCCTCCGCCCCTTTGTTGACAGACGCGCGCGTGACGCCTCCAGCCAATAAGCGGCCGCCGTTCGGGGCCATGCCCATATAAGGAATGCCCTGGCGTAGGAGCCCAACTTCGAAATCGGGAGGCGTAGGGAAGAGGCGCGGGGAAGGGGGCAGTGGGGTAGGAACAACAGGATATAAGGGAGTGTGGAACAATTACCAACGTCCAGCTAAACCGAGGAATAGACAGGGCAAAGGCCACAGAACTTAAGAGGCTGATTGCATGACGTTCCCTCTAAACAAGAGCCCAGATTGATGGTTGAGATTTAAAGGGCCAAGCAGCCCCAAGATTGAGAACTCCAAGGCGGAAGGAAAAGGGTAGAGAGATCAGAGTGCCCAGCTTTAGTGGGAAGCACGGTGTGGGCCGCGGTTTTCCGCAGGGGAAACTGGGAACCCGGGTCACCTCACCCTGACAAACAACAGGCAGACCCCTCACCAGTTCTGTAGCACTGAATCCAAGCCTCTGGGCTTGGCGTTTCATTCAAGACTCAGGACATGGCCCTGTCAATTCAATCTTTGCAAATGGGTGCCCCAAACCAGATTCATTCTTAGTACAGGAAAACAATAGGAACTAACTTAATAATGACCTTTAAGTATTGATTACCTGTTAATTTAAATTACACATAATAGCTTGCATATTTCTATGAACATCGCTGGACTAGGGCCTTTCAATGGCAGGCCGAATCATGAGACACCAAATGGTGGCTCCAGTGCAGACCCCTGTCCTGATGTCCCACCTCAGCCTTGCCTGCCTCAAACTATCCTCCCACATGACTACCAGGGGGCAGCCAAAAGGGTCTTGTGAAAGCATGAACCTATAAACCTAACCCTGGCCCCATCCCACTCAGGACCTACCATGGCTCCCCAGTGCTCTCCAAAGAAAGCCCAGGTACCCCACCTGCCCAGCCTCATCCCTTCCCACTCTTCTACCCCCATACTCCA